ATGCACATTCGACCCAGCCTCTCCATACATCTGACTCGTCCCCATCATCTTTCTCGGCAATCCCGTTCAGAAGTCAACTGACCGGACAGGGATAATGGACACCTGGCGCGCTCTCCCYGAAGCGCCCTGACCCCGTCGAGCGCCTGCTTGATTCTCCMTGATCACTCCCTRAGAACCTGCGCTCCCGTTTCCARACTGCACGTCCCCCTTCTCTCTCACTCTCCCTCTCACACGCGAGTAACCGCCTGAGCGCCGACGCGTCTCCCCCGTGCTTGCACTCGCGGGTACGCCTTGTTCGTGTCCGGCTCTCCCTTCTCTCTCGGCGTAACCGCCTGGGCGCCGATGTCTCCACCTCGAGYTCGTCTCCCACTCTGCAACTGCTTGACGYCGGSCACACCTGGCATGCAATCCCATTCCCTTCACTGTTCTCCCCTATATCCCCTTCAGTCCCATGGTCTGACCGACCAGGGCCTTCTCGGAGTGCAAGTGTGCAGAAAGTAGTCCGCCGCGCCACGGAGGAAAAAGAAAACAGTGGTACCGGTCTCACAGGCTCGGCGTCCACAGTACCCAGGCACAAGCTTCATCCCACTGGCGTAGACAGCTCCGACGAGTTTCGCAATGGTTCCGAGCGGAGATAGTCCCCTACATCCCCCTCCTTGCCACGGGCTTTAGCGGGTCAGTGATATCTGAGCGACTAAGCACTTAGGCCCGTAGTGGCGACGGCGTCAGGGCAGGGGCCCCCCATGCAGATCCACCTGTACTGCCAGTTTCCGCACGGTACCTTGCAAAACTGCGTGGCCCTTCAGACCCTGCAGTACCAGTAATCCTCGGGTAGCAGAAGTAGTCCCTTGAGCCAAGCAAGCTGAGCCCAATCCCACCAAAAAAAAAAAAAAAAAAAAAAAAAAAAAAAAACAGCTCTGCAGCCAACCCCCCCTTAGTCTGCATATGTCTAAAGGTTAACACTTCTATCTGTCGCTGGCCACACTACTCGTATACCGGCAGTTTGACGGTACCAAGTCCCATAGAACCGGAGCAAATGAGGCAATCCCCGACCGATCGCTGGATCAACGCGCGTAAGTGTCCCAGGCTAGTACACACACGAAAATAGTGGTACCCCGTTGCGGTGTCCCATGGAACAAGTTGCTGCGTCACCATACCAATTCCGAACCTTGAACTAGCCAACTAGAACTTGTCTCGACGTTATATCTCAGCAATCCGTACCTGTCAATGTCAAACCCAGATCACTYAGTCAGGCTCGCTGTTATTCTTACCATATCGAAGCCGAACTTGATATAACCATCYGGGGTTCCCGTGCCTCGCGCCGTGTCGATACCGACCCAGTACCAAGTCTGAAAATGATGCTGTGGCGCGTACCACGCCAATGCCGAACCAATACCGTACCTGAAACATGTCGAACACGGCAAGATGCAGCGGCGCGGTAATAGTACCGAACCTGAAGTAAACCGTCGCAATGATCCCGGACCTGAAAATAAATCACCGCAGAGGTTCCGAAATAAACTGCCATGAGGGCGTCGAACCTGAAACGAAACACCGCGATGCCACCGAACCTGACCAAACCCGAAATCCAGTACCGGGCTGTTGTGSCATGCGGATGCCGAACCCGTACAATCGTGCCAGGATAACCTGTCCCGAACCTGATATAGAATGCCGCAACGTTTCCGGACCTGAAAACAAACTGCCGCCAAGGTTCCAAACCTGGAATAACTGTCGTAGTGGCCCTGGTCCTGAGAATAAATCACCGCAGCTGTCCCAAAYCTGAAAATAAGTCACTGTAGTGAGACAGCTGTCACCGGGCCCATACCGTACCTGAAGCACGTCAGACACCGTAGGACGTAGCCACTCCATAACAACCCTCGTATCCGTACCGAACCAAACACCATAGTCGACCCAAGGTAGCACCACCCCATGCTGTCCATGCGATTCCTGCTCTCAGAACATCTCAACTGCGGTAATGTTAGTAATCAAGCACACCAGGGAAAGCGTCGCAGGAAACCTCGACCATCGGCAGTAGTGTTAACTTGTTAAAATCCGGGGAAAATGATCAATCCGGAGTCAGAGCTGATGGCGGGTAATCGAGGCGAAATTAGGCCAATCTCCCAATAGTCATGGGTTCCCGTCCCTTTCATCGTTTTTCATCATTCTTCCCTTTCCTTAATTCTATTGTCGGGAATAGTAAATTAACTGTAAGTTCGCCAAAATTGAATTTCGAGAAAGTTTAAATAAATGGTCGAATTTCTTTTGTTTCTTTTCTCTTTTACCATTTTTAATATTTTTCTATGTTTTTAATTTCATTGTCGGGAACATAAAATAACAAGGGTATTCCCCCTTGAATTAAATGTTGTAAAAAATAAAGAAATTAAGGGATATTATGTTTTTCCCTTCTCCGCTACTCGTCGTAATCCCTTTTCCCCATCTTTAATTATGGTACTAAAATAGACAAAAATTTGAGGCCTCATTTTGGCCCCGGTCGTATGCCGCAAAAAACGTTGTTGCGAGGTCTGTTCGCGTGATGCCTCTCGGCGGCGGGCCAATCCGGGTCTAACCCTCTGAAGGGCTGAAAATGACTGTCCGTTGATGTGCTGAGTGCGACCACCCATCTCACCATCTTTGAGGGTTACCCGTAAGGTTCAGCGCGCCCAAAATCAAGGGCGCCCTGAGCTCCCCTAATTTCCGCTGCCTAGTCTAACCAGAGTACCATCAAAACTCAGACTCGTCTTTGCACCTAAGTCCCTAAACCGTAGATTTCAGGCGGCGCACTGCTTGTGGCTGCCTGACAGTTAGCCCGGACCACTTCTCGACGCCCCCGTCGAGCCCTAACCACTTTCGTCAGACGAAGCGGACGAGCTTCAGGGCGATTGTTCGTAAAGGACGCCCACGTCGGCGTTCAGTTGTCTTATGTTTCAGTCTGTTTTGAGTTCTAGGGCTAAGTAGATGTTTTTTTACTTTCCTTTCCCGCCGGGTTCTCGGCCTTTGTAGGATCCTCTTTTTTTTCTGTCGTTGGCCCGAGAAGGGTGTCGTCCCGTCAGTTTGTCTAATGCGGACTCTCCGTTTGGCCCTCTTGAGCACGAATAACCATTTCTTCTTTCTTCATAGAGTTAACCCTTTGACCTTTCTTTTCTCTATTCTTTTTCTCTTCTTGGAGCTTTCGCCTGCCTCGAATCGTCTCAAGGGATCTCCATCCTCCATCTTAGCCTTCCCCTTTCCTTTGGGGCCCGTCAGCGATAAGGTGGGTGCAGGCCTGGGTCTAAACARCTTTAACCTAGCGCCCGCCACTGGGTCCTTCCACTTAGATCCATCCAATTCTGCTATCATATATGCACCCCAGTCGAGTGCCTCAACCACTCTGTAAGGTCCCATCCATCTATTTGCGAGTTTTCCGGTCCAGGTCCTCTCTAGTGCCGCGTCGTAGAGAAGGACCATATCTCCTACGCTCACCCTCTCTTTCCTGATTCGCACGTTCTTATCCCATCTTTCTTTACCCTTGTCCCTTTCCACTGCCATACGATATGCCGCTGTCATGAGGTTATCTTCCAAACCGTAGGCTATCTGTCTTGTTCGGGCAGCTATGAGTTCCTCTCTGGACATCTTCTCCGCCCAGTCGACGGTTGTCCAACTGTCGACGTGAAACTCTATGTGGAGCGGACAATGTCGCCCGAACCACAAAGTGTACGGTGGGTATCCGGTACTAGCCCGGACCGTGACGTTGTCTGCCCATATTGCGTATCGAAAATATCGTGGCCAATCACTGTCTTTACCCTTGCACCACTTGGATTGTGACGCTATCAGAGTCTGGTGTCCCCTCTCTACTGGGGAGTTCGACTGTGGGTGATAGGCGGTGGCTATCGAAATTCTCGCCCCGGCTCTCTTGAACACACTCTGGACCTCGTCAGCTAGAAATTTCGCCCCTCTGTCCATCACTATCTTGCTGACACAACCATACCTAGATAAGTACTCCAAGACGAAGTTCTTTACTTCCTTTACCGTCTTACTCCTGATGAGTCTACCGTCCACGAACCCAGTGAAATCGTCTCGTATGTTCACGACGTAGTTCATATTGCCTACCCCCTTTGGCATCTTCACCAGATCGATGTGTACCTTCTCTCCCGGTCTGGTGGGATAGGATGGATGGAGAGGCTCTTTGTACTTCACAAGAGCTCTCTTCTGGCACTCCTCGCAGGTCATACAGTACCTCTCGACGTCCTTATACTGTCCTTCCCACCAGTACAACCTGTGTACCTTTTCGTAGGTTCCTTTGACTCCCCTGTGTCCTCCGACTACCCAGTCGTGAAGCTTCGCAACTATTGTCTGTCTCTCCTCAGGGTCACAGACTACTCGTAAGGGCATCCCCGAACCGACCGGCCTTCGAAACAGATGGCCAGCTCTAAGGCAGTACTGGGCCGCTTGTCTCCGGWYATCTGATTCTTGACTCTCCTCTCCTGACAAATGTAGCCCGATCATTCGGTATTTGCCCTCGTAAAGGTTAACCAGAAATCGCTCGGTGCGTCCTGGCACCGCCATAGTCAGGGCCCCAGCTACTATCGGGCGCTCGGCCTCAAGAGGGATCTGAGAAAGCCCATCTGCTACGGCATTTTTGGTGTAAGATATCCTCTCTACAGCGTAATCATATAGCCGAATCCGTAATAACCATCGTGCAATGGTCGGGTTTGTCAGGCTAAAGTCCTTTTGGAGGACAAAGGCAACCGCAGTGGGATCCACTCTCAGGATGAACCGACGACCATAGATATAGTGTCTGAACGTGTTCAGACACCGCAGAAAAGCTAACACCTCCTTCTTGAATTGACTGTAGTTACAATCAGCCGTATTAAGTGTTCTACTCTCAAACCTTAACGGTCTCTCTTTCCCTCCCACGTCCTTCTGAGACAGCAAACCACCTACTGAACATGGTCCAACATCCGTGGATACTATGAAGGGTCTCTCGGTCTCATCGTCAAAGAATCGCACGCCCAACACGCGTTCTCCCTCCTTAAATTCGTCTTTAAGTTCTTCCATAGCGAGTTCCTGCAAAGAATCCCAGTAGAATTTTTCAGTCTTTCGAAGGAGTAACCTCAATGGCTCCGCATACCCCCGTATGAATATACGTCAGTAACCGACCACTCCCAGAAACTGCCGGACCTCGGTTAGGCTATGTAACGGTGACGGCCAGTTCAGGAGTTTGTCTAACTTCGTCGGATCTTCTCGGCATCCTCTCGAGTCACAAATAAAGCCCAAGATCTTAATAGTCGAGACGGCCCATCGGCTCTTTGTTCCGCTGACTGTTAGATTCGCATCGTCCAGCTGCTCGAGTACCGCGCAAATATTCGTTAGGTGCTGCTCGACGAATCTTCTAACTCCAGGTGCAACCTCTGCCTCATCCTTGTTTACTGACCCTTTTATAGGAAAGTCATCCAGAAAAACTTCAACCTTATCAGGGATGAAGTCCTTGAGGACGGCTACCATGGCTCTCTGAAAAACGACTACCCCATTAGTCTAACCCATAGGGACAACCATCATCTGTATTAGTCCCAATGGCGTATGCATAGCCGTGAGGTGCCTGTCTCTAGGGTCAAGTGGCACCTCATCATAGCCTGAGAACAGATCACAGACCGAGTAAATCGACCTACCTGCGGTGCCTTCTGCCAGTAAATCGGCGTGTGGCATGGAGCCCACGTCTCGTATCGTCACCTCGTTGACATTTTGAAGGTCCTGGATCCATCGGATCTTGCCATTCGGCTTTCGTAGGAAGAACCATCGATTAGCATAAGCGCTATCAGACGGCTCCGCAACATGGGAAACCATCTTTTCTTTCAGGAAAGCGATAACTTCTTTTTTTTCCTTCTAGGCGTATTTCCATCCCGCATCATTCCAGGGAACATGTGATATCGTGTAAATCCTTGCTGGTTTAGCGTATCGACGGTCAACCCTACCGCGCTCCGCGTCACTAAAAGCTATGGCCTTATCACATGTCTTCAGGATTTCTATCACACGTTCTCGCTCTGTGGGGTCAAATTCCCATCTCCGATATCCATCCCTGCTATCCTCTCTTCTGTTAGCCATTGCGGCTCCTTTCTCTTTCTTTCTTGAATTTCTTTCGCGATCTCTTCTTCCGATATCCCGTCCAGTGCAGATCGTTCGCGGCCCACCACAGCTGGCTTAACTTTTTGAGCTACTCGCTTGTGTCGCTTGGGGGGGCCGTGCCCTTAAAAAAGACACGGATACCACACCGCCAAATTCCTTATCTTTTTTCTTTGGGTACGAGTTACCGCGCCGCCGACTTTCTTCCACCTCCACAATCTTCCGCAAAACGCACCGCGTGGCCGGAGATAGGTAATGATTTAATCTGATCACTGGGTATTGCACCTACAACGAGAGCTGCTCTGTTCCTCGGGTCCCGAGGCTCCGCTGTTTCAATCATTACCCGCGTCCCGTCTGGCTTCTTAATGGACAATGTTTGGCTCCCATCAGGTCGCTCTATCGTCACCGCATGCACGTGGCTCAGCCACGTTCGACCCAAGAGCAGGTCGGAGCTGCAGTTCTTGACYGCAAAGACAGGCAGGGTCACTCGTACCCCTTGGACCTCTATGGCTGCCTTGTGACAAACCCCAGTGATTTGTTGCTTTCTCCCATCAGTCGTCTCTATCTCGAATAGGCATGACCTATCGAGGCCCAGTCCAACCTGTACTGCCAGGTCCTCGTCTATGATGACAGCCTCACTGCCGTTATCGATCACAGCATCGAGTACCGCTCCATCGTTTATAATCGTCTCCACGGCCCCGCTACCAAGTATATAAAACTTATCTGGAGGCACACCTTCCATTCCATCGAGAAGGACTGTCGCCATGCGATCCGCTCTGGCAGTCACCACCGTTACTGCTACTGTAGAAGCTTCCGCCTTAGGGACCCCCTGACCCTCCTCCGATAGAGGTATGCGAGTCTTTCGCGTGATCATCTGTAACTCATTACGAGCCGGCTTCGATGCCGCCAGGTACTCCAGAAGAGAGCACTGCATGGGTTGCCGAAGGGCCCGTCTCAGTGGTTCGTCCGTGTCAATCTCGTCCAGCGAACTCTTCATTAAGAACTTCTTCACTCCCAGCTTTCGCGGCGAAAGGATAACCTCCTCTCCATCGACCCRCTGCCCGTCCTTCTCCGCCATTACGTAATCCGTGTCAGTCTTCTTCGATGTAGACCCTCTCGCCGACTTGGTGGCTGCCACCCTTATGGGTGTGGTCGCCATATCCCCCTCAAAGGTTATCTTGATGCTCTAGCTCCTGACCGGCTCCTTTCCTTTACTCGGCTTTACTCTCCTTGCTTCAACATTCTCCTTCATCGAAGGAAACATTGATACATCTCCCAGACCATCTGCCCACTTGACATACTTGCGGTCGTCAAGCACGACAAGTCCCTCATCTATTGCCCGTTTGAGGTCCGGGCAATCCCTCTTGATATGATTTTCTCCTCTACAGTAGACGCATGAGTTCCTGGGAGTAGATGGTCTGTCGTCTGCGCTTCTAGAGAGAGAAGTCACGTCTCATCATCCCTCTCCACACCAATTCCTTGTAATCGTCTGCCTCTGCCTTTATCGCGAGCTTTAGGACTTCTGGGAAATCAAGCCTGTCGCGCGGAAGATCTATAAGTATACTCTTTTGTCCACCTTTGGACAAGTGTTCGATGAAGATAGTACAGCGCTCGACCTTTGAGATCTTCGCCTTCTTCATCAGCACGTCGGAGATCTTCTGGAAACGCATCCCAAATGCYCGTACGCTCTCATCTTCATCTTGAGTCATTGTTTCAAGGTCCTTGATAGAATACTTGTTATCCTCCAATTTGTAAAGCTCAACGAGGTTTTTCTTGTACGTAGTTCATTTCTCATCCTTCGGTCGAGCTTCCTTAACTTCCCTATCGAGACTTGGGTCCACATTAAATAGGAAGTTCTCTATAATCTCTTCCTCCGATCACTGACTCCGACTGGCATGAAGCTCTCACTTCTCCAGATATTCTGTGATACCGTAGCCCCTAAAGGTAGGAGGCTCTGAGGCCTTGTGCATAATAATATAGCGATCCTTGCTCTCATAAGAGAGCGGATGTGACTCCCCTGTCTTGGGGTCGAAGACTCGCGTGGGCGGCGCCCTGTCTCTATCTCTGTCCCTCCAATGGGAATCCCTCAAACTCTCTCTCCAGTCGTCTCTATGCCTGTCCGCTATGGTGTCCCTCCGCTCGTACTCGGGGGAGCGTCGCCTCGTCGCTTCTCGTCGTCCGCTCGAGGTACCCGTCTTTAAAGCCTCCTGCGGCTCTGTCGCAACTGGTTCGCCCCTTACGTCGGACCCTCCGTCATTGGTTTGGTCAGCCCATCTGAGCGGTGCTTCTCGCCTAATTCGTTCCTTCAGATCCCTCAGAGCTCGATCGGGGGATGTCCTGTACTCCTCTCCCGCTTCGTCCGTGGTCGGTTGTGGACCCATCGTGTCGGGTTCCATTGGACCGCCAAAAGACGCGGTTAGGTATTCTAGCCAACTGTTACAGCCCGACCCTATGACAGTCGCTGCAGCCCGGACCTGTGACAGTTGCGGCAGCCCGGACCTGTTTCCTAGTCACGGCTTGCGTTCGCCTCGAATCTTCGCTCTCGACTGCCTTGATTACCACTTCTAGTATCCCGTACCGGTCGCAGATCTCGTGCTCTCCCTCTATCCCAAGAATCCCTGTGTCTAAGTAAACCTCTCCTTCGGGATCGACCAACAAGGCCGTGCCTCTCCGGATCTGCACTACACCCGTGACAGGACCTCTATCCTTGAGACAGATCGCAGTCCCAAACCTAGCCAATGTCTCCTGATCCACACCCCTCAAGAGTCTCCGAGCGTCTATCTCCGTCCTCCTTGCTAGTTCTCCTAGCCCTGTCCTGAATCGGTTAGCCCGCTAAAGGCCCTCTTACTTCCATCCAAAGTCGCCCATCGACCTTTCTAGCTTCCACTATCCTTCCAAGAGCTTCCAATTTCTATTTCCACTCCCTTATCTCCTCAACGGCTATGAGGTCATCTGTCTAGCAGCTGAGGTAAGTTAGTGCTATAACCACTTGTAACCTCATCGCCGACCGCTCCAATATGTCATAAAATGTCTCAAAGTCCTCCTTATCTCCACCATCCTGTATCGTCTCTAAAGTCTTTATCGATTCCTTCTAGTACCGGTCGTGAGCGGCTAACACCCTAAGTATTGCACCATCTGTTACAACTCTCCCTAACTCTCCAGCTTTCCTGGCTTCGCTTATCTTCAACCTCTCAGCCTCTCTGGTCGTCKCGTACCATGCCCTTATTCGAGACCGCCCTTCGAAAGGTGTCACTTGGAGTACGTATTTTATCCTCCGTCCTCCTTCTATTCCAATCCAAAGTCCTGTCCCCCTAGCCTCACGCAGCGCGCGGCGGACATACTCTGCCTCCTCAACTATGCACAGTCTGGTATGGAGCTGGAGTTCTATGATCACTAACATTAATGGTCCGTCGAGTCTCCCTACCACATGTAATGAGTACCGATCCGTCGTGTGTAGTGTCGTCCCGCTCATGTCCTGTCGCTACTTCTTTGCGTTACTTTGTCTTCCGTTGTCTCGCTCTCTGCAGATCGCTCACTAGTTTCTTCGCGTGATACGCTTCTAGCCTTTACCCTCTCCAGAAAGTCTGATTTCCACGCCTGGATAATCTCTCTTTCCTCCCTAAACAAATTCTCTAACTCTCTCTTCACGAGTTCAACCCTACGCAACTTGCCCTCGTCCTGACACGACCAGATCTCCCTTAACTTGTTCCCCAACTTCTTTACCTGGTTCAAGAGTGGTTCTTTAATGCRCTTTCTCMCTYTTYCGACTGCCTCACTCTCCTCTTCCATACTCAGTCCACATCTTTTTCCAGCTCWTCCTCTCACCCTCGCTCTAACCTCCGCTACCGTCTCATCGTGGTAGTGCTCCGCGCGCATATAACCATGAGACCATATCATCACATCATAGGAAATCGAGGTCTGGAAGGTCACTCGCGCCAGTACATCAGCTCTACGCTCGTGGATCAAATCCCTGGCTCGTTATCTGCACTCACTCGCTGTCAAGTCCTCGTCTACGTACGCTCGGAGAAGTACTGTCACAGTGTATCCTGCGCTTACCAATTGTTTTCCTACACGCATCACCGTAGTCGTCCTTCCCGGCATTCCCTAAGTTGCGGCCTCGAAGAGAAATCTCACATCTTCTAGCCCCACGTAATCGATCTCTGCCCGTCTCCTGCAGTACCTAATCAGATCGATAGGCCTCAGACAGTCCACCCAGCTAGTAACGTCTATGATGTCGTCAAGCGTCTCTCTACTGGGCGGCCCCCACCTCACACAAATGGCGTAGTATACTTCCTTGAAGCAGGGCGCTAAGCCCTCCCAGAGCGCGTAAAGTGTGTGGTTCACTGCTCTACTCAAATGATCCACGCTCCCATAGGTCTGCCCTATCACGAAGGCAGGAAGTCCGAATCTCCAATCCTCTCTCGGGTAGAGGGTCGAGTGCGGAGGACCGTATACCAAGCGGCTCGAACGCGTCCTCCCCTTCGAGAGTTTCGCTAGTTGCTGATTAACGATCACTCTGGCCAACAACTCGCTCCTCTACCAAATCCTGCTCGCCCCTGCGAGCGTCAATCCTATCTCTAGATCGTACGCTCTGTCCGCTATTAGATGTCCAACCCCTTCTAGTTCATGAGTCCTCTCGGGTCGTTCGTCTCGTAATATCACCGTCCAAAGGAAAAGTCATTCTGCAAGCCACGTTCCCAGGTATCGTATCGGAACACGCCCTGTCCCTTCTAACGCCACAGGAAGAGGAATGTCGTATCCAACCGTCGTCTCTCTAGGTCCCACAAGCTTCCTCACACTATACGATTCGGACTCTCGTGAGAGAACATAAGCTAACCAGRCCACTGAATCACTCCTYATCTYTTCTCCTACTCTCGGTCAGCATCACTCTACTCCCTCCGATGCACCCCATCTCTCGACGTTGCTAACCCTTCAGACAACTCTCGCACTCAGGTCCAGTATGGTCGAGTACGATCAGTAGCTAAGCTCACCTAACCGTCGCCCTAATGTGCTCCTTTACCTCCTACGCCCGGACTGCTATTCCTATCCTGGGAAAATGGGCGTCCGTAACGTCAATCTCCTCCTCGTCAACCTCACTCTCTGGGTCGACCCAGTCTGGCTCCCAGAGTCGTTCTCTCGCTCCCAACCCTCGTCGTCAAACTGGTCCTCGACGCGGTATGACGCCTGTCCTATACCCTGGTAGTATTCTGCCAGCTGATGGCTGTATATCAGAGGTCGCCCGGCGTCCTCACCCCACCAGCTCTCCCAGTCGTCTGAGAAGAGCCGCCCGATGCAGGTCACGTACTTGGGGCCTGCTCGGAGCTCACGATCTAGCCAATCCCAAACGCACGGAGACTGGGGTCACTCGTCGTCTATCGAGCGGATCAGCTCTATAAGCTGAACCCTCTCGTCTCCCTAACGAGACCCACCGGTTGCGAGCGAATAATAGATGTAGTCTAGGTCGGCAGGCCTTCTCGCCAGGATCTTGAGATCCTGATAGGCCAGGTATGTCCCGACCACTCCACCAATACCTCCAAAGACGCTCTCTACTACAAACGTTGGAACTATCGCTCGCAGGCTCCTAACGCTGTACGGGAAAAACCCGTCCCGTGCTACCACCAACTCGCCCGTGATATCAAGAGGAGGACGTCTGTGAAATAGGGTCAACGGCTCGCTCGAGCCCTCCGCTCGGAAGGCAGCTACCTCTTCCCCTTGGTAGCGTAACGCCCTGCTCCCTGTCGTCGCGAGACCCACCACGGCCTCCCTGACCACACCCGGTCCCAAATACAAGTAGGCTCTCACTACGCCCACTCCTTGCCCCGACCGGTGCTCTCTGTACGTCCAAAGCCACACGTCCTCGGACAAGATTATAGACCTCCACGCAAACTGGTCGTCAACGTGTCGAATGTTGCGCCCGGGGATCGTGAGCTCGACTAGATCCGCCTCTATGAGTTCAGGGGGCTCCAAGTCCCAGTCAATGGTAGCCCCATAGACCTCTACTTGCACCCGCGGCCACATTCAATTGGCGGCTAGAGAGAACACAGCAACAGGGAGGTGTAGATTAATGACTGAAAATTCCCGTCGCTTACCTCACGCCTTCGGGAACAAGCTAGTAGGTTCACCCGAAACCAGGTTACCGCATCGTCTCTTTCCTTTCTTCTTCTAGGGAATTCTTTTGTATTTTTTAATTATAAATTA